GAGAGTCGTGCAGCACGACGTTGCTGAGCACGCCAGGGTCCACTTGCGTGGGCTCCAGCTCAACGGGATCGAGCAGCGCGTAGTTAACCGGCACCACTGGGACATGCAGCACGGCATCGTGGCCTGGTACTCTTACCTCAGCTACCTGGGGCGCTCCGGCGCATAGGGTGCATAGTCGATAAGAGCATGTCGCTTTCCACGGGAGCTAGGGTTGGCATGGCCAGGGTTTGCGCAGTCATGGTTGGCATAGTCAGCGCGGTCGGAGATGGCGCCGCCACGATTGGCATAGTCAGCAACAACTGCTCGAGTAAATGTTCCACCTTTCTCCTCCTCTCCTCTCCCACCGTGTGCCTGGCGTGCGCTATCACGCCGTGTGCCTGGCGTGCACTTCCCTCCATCCCTTCCTGCGTCCTAATGCTGCAGCGGTTAGGTGCCACACCGGGGTGCCTACCGTGCCTGGCGTGCACTTCCCCTCCTCTCCTCCCGCCTGTGCCTGGCGTGCACTTAATTCCCTCCCCTCCTGCATCCTTATGCTGCAGCGGTTAGCTGCCGCGCCGGGGTGCCTGCCGTGCCTGGCTTCTTGCACCTGTCCCCTGTGTTCCTGGCGTGCACTTCCTTCCCTCCCCTCCTGCATCCTTATGCCGGCCGCAGCGGCTAGCTGCCGCGCCGGGGTGCCTGCCGTGCCTGGCGTGCACTTCCCCTTCTCTCCTTTGTTTCACCGGGTTTATCCCACGCGGCTGGGGTTGCCGCCAATACCGCTGTCTGATGGTGCTTTGATAGCCTGACTTCCATGCAAGGATCACATTGGGAACGGGCGGTGAGGTGGCCCCTGGCCTGCCCCTGGCTGGTGTCGGCCTCCACTTGTGACCGGAAGGGTTCCGTGAGGTCTCGCTACGAATTCCATGCCAGGATCACGCTGGGGAAAGGCGGTCAGGTGGCCTCTGGCCTGCTCCTGTCTGGTGTCGGCCTCCACTAGTGACCGAAAGGGGTCAGTGGGGTCTCGCTACGCTGCCGACCTCTACGTTGCAAAGACTTCGACATGTGTGTCTCTGTGTGCCCGTCGGCCGCTTTCTCCTGCAAGGACTAGGTGCTGCCGTTTGCAGTCCTATCTGTGGCGAGGTTGCCCCTCTTCGCTCTTGCGCTGACACGATGCTGTTGTGTCGCCTACGGCACGGACGTCGTCTGGTTGTGCCTGTCTGGTCGCGCGGCACGGCCTGTCCTGCTCGTCTCTGACGGTGCTTGTGCCGACTCACACCGAATGATTGACCTCTGCATGTTTATGGTCGCGCCGCCGCGCCAGTTTGGCTGCGCTTACTTGATGGTCGCCGCAAGGATCTCCACGCCACCAGGTTGGGAGTTTTGTTTTTGGCTCTTCTTCTGGGTGGCTGCCCGCGCACTCGCTTCGCTCGCCTCTCTTTTCTTGCTGCTTAGTCGCGGCCCGTCTAGTGTTCGGATCGCTTTCGACCTGCTTCGCGGGCCCGCAGACCAAAATATATCTCCACCAGCCGCCACTTGTGTTCGTCCACTTCACGGATGTCTTTTGGGGGTGCGTGTCGGTGTCGTTCGTTCTGACGTTGCCGGCCGAGCCGTTCACAGTGTTCGACCTCTACGTGATTTCGGTCGCGCCACCCCGCCATTTTGGCTGCGTCTACTTGCTGGTAGTTGCCGGGATTTTCGGACGCCATCGGGGATGGGTCTACCTGTTCTTTTCGCCTTTCTGAGCTGCCGCCCGGCTGCTGCGCCTGTCTTGCTTTCCGCCTTTCGCTGCCTAGTCGTGGCCCGGCCAGAGTTTGGACGCCTTTTTGACCCGCTTCACGAGGCCGTTGACCAAAAAGTATCTCCACCAGCCCATCCAGAAACGATGTCCAGGCGAGTTGCCCTGACTTAGTGGTCGCAACATGCAGTGGAACAAAGAGTGGCGGGAGACTTTTTTGTGTGTGTATATATGGATGTATGTATGTATGTATATATATATACACACGTTCGTGGCTCTTTCCACTGGCACGGAGAATGTTGTTGGGAATCAGGAATGATAGTGATGCTGTCTTAGATGGTAATTATGATGATGCTGCTGTTGCTGATGATGCTGATACAGCTGCTTACGAATATGATGGTGCTGATGATGATGACGACGATTATAATGATGATGCTGCTGATGATGGTGATGATGTTGGCGATGATGATGGTGGTGCTCGTGCTGATGATGATGATGATGACGATGCTGCTGATGATGGTAATGACGATGAAAATGTTTGTGATGATGATGTTGATAATGATGACAATGATGATGGCGATGGTCGTGATGGTGGTCGTGATTTTGATAATGATGATGATAGGGATGATGGTCATGATGATTCTGATGATGACGATGACGGCGATGTCGCTGATGCTGCTTCTAATGTTGCTGCGTTTGCTGCCGATGTTGATGCCGCGACTGAGGTTAATGATGATGATCGTGATGATGATGCTGCTCTTGAGCAAGAAGGTGTTATTAATGATTTGGATAACGGTACCAATGATCATGATGATGATGACAATTATGATGTTTTTGCTGATGATGATGATGATGACGATGCTGCGGATGATGATGCTGATGGTGATGATGATGCTGATGATGATGTTGATGATGATTGTGATGATGACGCTGCTGTTGATGATAATGCTGCTGCTGCTGATGACGATGTTGATGCCTATGATGTTGCTGCTGAACCTGATGATGCTGATGATGATGCTGATGATGATGATGACGATGATGATGATGATGCTGATGAGGATGACGATGTTCATAATACTGATGAGGCTGATGACGATGGTGCTGATGCTAATGTTGATGATGATGATGATGATGATGCTAACGATGATGATTATGATGATGATGATGCAGATAATGATGATGCTGATGGTTTTGGTGGTGATTGATGGTGATGATGATGATGATGATGATGATGCTGATGGTGTCGATGATGATGATGATGATGACGATGATAATCACGCTGCTGCCGATGATGCTGCTGATGATGATAATAGTGCTGCTGCTGATGATGATGCTGACGATGACGATGACAATGATGACGATGATGATGCTCATGATGATGGTGATGATGATGATGATGATGATGATGATGATGATGGTGATGGTGATGGTGATGGTGATGGTGATGGTGACGATGATGCTCATGATGGTGATGCTGACGATGACGCTGCTGATGATGACGATTACGCTGATGATGCTGAGGATGATGATGATGACGTTGATAGTGACGATTATGACGATGATGCTGCTGATGATGCTGATTATGATGACGATGGTGATGATGATGATGATGATGATGATGCTGATGATGATGATGATGATGATGATGATGATGATGATTCGGATGATGATTATTGTGGTGATGGTGGGGATGATTATGATGTTGATGTTGTTAAGGATGATGAAGATGCTGATGATCATGATGATGATGATGATGATGATGATGATGATGACTGATGATGATGATGATGATTATGCTGATGCTGATGCTGATGCTGATGATGATGATGAGGATGAGGAGGATGATGATGATGATGATGATGATGGTGATGATGATGGTGATGATGATGGTGATGATGATTATTCCTTTTATGTTGAGAGGTGGACCAGGAGGAGGTGGAGGAGGAGGAGGATGAGGATGATGATGATGATTATGATGATGATGCTGCTGCTGATGATGATGATGATGTTGATGATGATGATGATGATGATCCTGATGATGATGATGATGATGATGATGATGATGATGATGCTGATGATGATGATGATGATGATGATGATGATGGTGGTGATGATGATGATGATGATGATGATGATGATGATGATGATGATGATGATGATGATGATGATGATGATGATGATCATCATGATCATGATGATGAGGAGGAGGAGGAGGAGGAGGAACAGGAGGAGGAGGAGCAGGAAGAGGATGATGAGGAGGAGGGGGATAAGGAGGGGGGAGGAGGGGGAGGAGCAGCAACAGCCGGGATGAGGGCGAGCAGACGGAGCAGGGGTGTCGGAGGGAGGAGTGGAAGGGGAGTAGGAGGGGGAGTTCTGGTGGAGGGGGGGCTGACACCAGGGGAGAGGGTAGGGAGAGGTTGTTTCTGAGCTAACTGGAAGAGGAAACTTGCTAAGCCACCTCCGCCCAGAGAGCTTGTGGGACTTGCCATTTCTGCTGCGGTGTTCAGTTCGCCATTTTACCGCACAGCCTCGGATCTTTCGCGCCGCCCGTTCGCCGGCGCTGCAGCAAAAGTGATTTTTCAGAGGTTCCTGGAGTTATCTGGAGGTTTCTGGAGGTACCTGGAGGCCCGTGTGGGTCCCCCCAGACGCCTCCAGAGGCCTCCTGAGGCCCAAGACGGGCCAAAACCAGGACCAAAAACGTCAGAACTTTCGATTCTCCTGCCATCTTCTTGGAGTGTGCGGCTTCCTGGCAGAGCTTGTCGCCTGCGTCTCCGGTGCTTCTGGAGGTGCCTGCCTTCCCTTGGACCTACCGCTTCTCTTGAGGCAGCCTGCGGGACGCCAGGCGCGGCCTGGGTCGTGCAGATTTCGAAGGCTGTCTTGGCGCTTGGTGCACAGCCTTTCGGCGACCAAGATGGGTGTGGCTACGCTGGGCTGTGGTTTGCGATTTGCCTCGTTGGGGCTTGAGGGGGCACCACGTCGCCCTCGTCAGGCCTCCTGGTTGCACGAGGTCGGCGCCCGCCCCCAGGGCGTCGGTTGCAAACCGCACCCTTTGCAAACCACACACTTCGGAGTCGCCGGAGCCTGCCCGACAGCCAGCTCACGTTCCGTGGCTCATAAAGGTTTCCGAATCAGCGCCCCCCGCTGTAAGCAGGGGTGCGGGGTGGCCGCGAGAAATCGATGCCTTGGGGCGCCGTTGGCGCCCTGGCCCTTTCTCCTCCTTCCCCTTCTCTCCTCCTCCTCCTCCTCCTCCTCCTCCTGTCCCTCGTTCCTCCGCCGTGCGCTTGCGATGCTCGTAGACATTGGCGTGGCGGCGGACGTTGGCCATGACATGGTCGAGGTCGAGAGCAGCGCATGCACTTTGGCTGCTGGCAGAGCGCTTGCGGTGAGAAAAAATCTCGGGCGGCCCCGTTGGCTTCGAGGTACCTCGCCCTTCCTTCGGCCCCCACTGCGGAACTCCTCCCGCTTGGCGAGCAGGGGTCCGGGACACTCACGATGATCACCACCCCACCATGCGACTGCAACGGCGGCAGCGACGACAACGACGACGCTGGCGACCCAGGACAGCGCATGCCCGCCGGACGCGCTGAAGCTACTCTGCTCCTGGCCGTCCATGCCCCCTCCGGCGCAGCGCTACTGCACAGGCCGCCCGCCCCCCCCCGCCGCCGCCCTCCAACGCCGCCCTCCTCCATGAATGCAGCGGGGCAGCGGGGCAGGAGGAGGGGTCCCTGCATGGTCCTCTCGCCCATCACGGCTTCCTCGGGGCCTGGCCCTTCTCCCCGGCACCAGGGGGAAGCCACCCCGGGAAGGCGGCCCGAGCAAGATCGCAAGCTGGCCCCAGGGCGAAGCTCTGGGGCCCCGGGGCCCACGACCCACGAGGACCCGCTCCCCTCATGATGCCGCCCAACTCCAAGAGGATCGGGTCGGACGAAAGGAAGGGTTAGGGGAGGGGGGAGTGCGAAACCTGCTGTACGCAGCTAATTTCGGCCCCGTCGCTGGGCGCATACATGGGCCTGTAGGGCGTCGCATTCTTTTTTTGTTTTGTTTGTTCCCCCCCCCCCCCCGGGGCGGGGGGGTTAGGGGGGTCGTTTTTGTTTCCCCCGGGATCCCCCCTCATCAGTTTTTTTTTTGGTGGGGGGGGTCCCCCGTACCCCTCCTGTCTGTTTTTTGGGAGTGGTGGTCGTGTGTGTGTGTGTTTGTGTGTATGTGAGGGTTTTTTTCTTTGGCCGTCCCTTAATTTTTTTGGGGGGGAGAGGGGGGGCGACTGGTCTTCTGTGCGGTCCGTTGGTCTTTTGTGCGGCCCGTTGGGCTCTTGTGCGACCCAGCGCGCGGCCGGGTGGGTCTTACTGCTGCCCGCGATGACCCTTCAACTTAAAGTGATATGTAAGGGCTTCTTTTCATAGCTTTGGAAGTCTTGATTGCCCTTAAAGGCTTGCGTTCCCGCCCAGGAAAAGGTGTCCGCATCTGGAGGCGCGTTGGAAGCAATACAGTAGTAGTTGTGCCAATCTTCAAAGTAACATTCAAATAAGCAGTTTTTGAAGCAACGTGATAAACCCAGGTGCGTATCCGAGGGTGTGTGTGTGTGCAGCACTGGAAAAATGGTTCGAGAAGAGGCCCGATACAATCGTCCTCCTGAGCATCACGATCATCATCATTTTCATCCTCATCCTCCCTGTCATGATCACCCTCCACTCGTCTTGCACTTGTCAACATTACATGCGTAGTCTCCCTTCATCCCTCTTAGCAGCATCAGTTATGGGAAGGAAGGGTCGGTTCTGATGGTTGTTATCGCTTGGAATGGGATCGCAAAGAGTTCACCACATGACTATGGGAAGGCACGTGGGCACGTGAGGGGCGATAGTGACTAGCATGCTTCCTCCTCCGCTCCTCCCTTGAGGCGGCGATCCTGCTCGTACAGCTGATTGCCCATGGCCGTTTCACCGCAGAGATCGCTCCTGCCGACGCCAGCGGGCGCCGCGCAGAGTGGTTGGAGCGGTTCGCGGCGGGGATAGCCAGTCGCTTTGATGCGCGGAGTGTGATTCACGCGTGTGGCGTTTGGCGCAGGTGGACACGATGGGTTGCCCAGCAATCTCCGCCACTCACTGGGTCCGCGGACGCGCCGTCTGCATTCGATCTGGCAGTATGGCTGGAGGACGTTGCGGGTCGCGGCCCCTCGGCCGCGGTTGGGGTCTGGGTTGGCCTGAAGTGGCTCTCGCGCAACTTCGGCCTGGCCCATCTCCCTCTCGAGTCCCCCTTGCTGGAGCGATTCAGCCGGCCAGCCTTAGGCTCGTCTGTTCGCCCCATGGCGCAGGAACTCGAGCCGCGGGTTTGGAGACACCTGTTGGGGCTGGCTCAATCTACCGCCGGCGCGATTGCCTTGTTTGCAGAGCTCGGCGTGTACGTCTTTGTGTCTAGTCTCAGGTTCCGCCACGGTCAAAGGTATTCCCTTTGCCCACGACAGATGATCCTGCCGGGCGCTGGTGGCGCGCATCAGCAGGAGGAAGACGCGCGGCGGGGTAACTTTCCTTGTCGCTGTTCCAGCGTACGTCGAACCAGACCTTCCGCTGCTGCGCCAACTCTACGACGAGCTGCTCTGCACACGCCTCGCGGACGCAGGTTTTCTTGTACCAAACATAAACACCAGAGGTAGCAGCGGTCTGGCAGCTGAGTCTCATCCGCCATGCCCCCTATGAGCTACTATAAGTTGATGGGGTTCGCGCGGGCTTTGTGCACGCTTCCACCTTTTGACGCTTGCATCCTCCCAAAGCCGGGCGATTTCCACATATTCGCTGCGACGCCAGCTACCCCGCGTAGCCGATCGCTTGCGTCTCAGTGTGGAGGATCGTTCTGAATTGGGAAACTGGACTGATGAGCCAGCAGGTGAGAAGGCGGCGAGCCGTCGCACGCGGGAGCCTACAGCAGTGCAGTATTCTGACGCGCGCTTGCAGTCCTCAGCAAATATCTGGCGAGTCTGTTTAGCAGCTCTACATCATGCGCCCGGACGTGTTGCAGGGGCTCTTGAGCAACTTAATCTTTGACCCCATTGCGACCCACATGGGCGCATGCGACCCAGACGGGATCCTGTTTTTCATGGCGCCCCCCACCAGGAAATGCACGGGCTCCAGCGATGCTGTTGGGGAGTTTTCCGACGAAAGGTCTTCCCCGATGTCCGATTTCGTCCGGATCCGTGACGCTGCGGCCGAGTATTGCCGTGTCCGGGACCTGCCTTTCTGGTGTGTCGTCGAGGAAAGAGCTTCCAGGTCCGCAGAAAACCGCCGTGATATTTCCGGCCATTTGGGTCTGATCCGGAACTTTTTCATGGCGTTGATTTCGGGTGGGTTCACAAACCATCGCTGTTCTGGGGCGTGCCAGTGAACAGCGCGGCCGGCAGTAAGAACGCCAGGTTTGCCAATAAGGTTTGCCAGTATTGACCTTGTCGCCCTTGGTCGGGCTTCCAACGACATCCATGTTGCGAGGTGGCGCGGCCCCCACTCGCCACCTTTCCTGGGGGCCAGAGGGGGGTTGGGAGTGGAAATTCCAGTCGGAATCGGGCAGGGTCGGCATTGAGGCGCCTGGCGCTAGCTTCGCGACGTCCTACCCTATGGGCCGTATAGTCGCCACCGCGCCAGCTGGCCCTCGCCCGCCCAACCGCCCTCCCACCGCAAAGGGGGGCCCGTGCATGTTTCAACGGTTCTTTGATGATGAGCGCCGCCAGCCGCTGCAGTCGTACGCTCGCGGGCATGTATTGTGGCAGGGAAATCGTGCATGCTGCCCGCCCTGTCACGGCCGAAGAACTGGAACGACTGCGCGGGTTTCCACCGGGCTACACGTCCACCCTCCGGCCCCCCCGTGGTGTAGTCAAACAGTCGTGCAGGTTGCACGCGTTGGCGTATTCGTCACACGTGCCCACGCTTGTAACCGTGATTTGTCTTCTTTTCCACTCAACCCACGGTTTCGGCGTGCCTCCGTCCGTGACCCCGCCGGCGTGGACACAGCACGAAGCCGATTTGAGTGGCGGGGGTCTCCGCTGACGCCCCCTGGCATCCGCAATGCCGTGCGCCAGATCTGCCTCGCGAGTGCTCTCTGCGAGTCTTCCACGATGCTTTGGCTTTGTTCCCGCTGGAGTTCTTTGCGCCTGTCTCCGACGTGGTCGCATAGGCAATAGCTCGTGTAAGCGCGCTGGATTTCGCGTCCCCAGCGAATTTCGAAGTTTTTCTGGCTCGCATCGGGGCGCCCCAGACTGCGCGGCCCCGAGGCAGGCATCGTGGTCGAAATCCCCTAGGCACGCTGCTGCTGCCAAACAACACTGGCCCTCCGCTTCCGACCGCGCCTTGCTGGGCCTCGTAGAGCACGGTGTTGGGCCAGACGAACACGTGCATCGGTCCACGCAATTGGACCACCCTTTCGCTGCGCCGCAAAATTTCGAAGTAGATTAGAAATTTGCGGTCAGTGCGAATTCTGCTTGGGGCCTTCGCGTGCGCGACCGCAGGCGCCGTAGGCGCAAGCTGCTCCATCAGCTGGCCACCGCCTTCCGTCCGCTCGACGCTTTTGCGTTGAAGCAGCGGCACGTGTCTGTACCGGAAGCGCCCGGTGTCTTCCTGGTCTGTGCTGCCGCGCTCATTTGCCTGATGGGCCAGCCAGACCGTATTCTGCAGTTGTGTTTCGTCCGCCCGTTTGAGCTCGCGGCGGCGGTGCCGGTTTTTGGCGTTCTCTGGCCCTGCGAGACAAGGTCCTCAGGTCAGAATGCGCTGGCCCATATTGGCGAGACACTCGGAGTGCCAGCCGCGGCAACGCACGCTTGGAACTTGGAGCGCGGCATGCGGCCTGGGGCGTTGACTCGCGTGATGTACGATCTCACCGTCGAGGAGATCCGCGCTGGCTTGGCCGAGCCTGCCGTAAGCCGCGCCGAACTCGACAAGCGTTTTGGTGTCGGGGTTACCGCCCCATGCCTCGTCGCGCCATCTGGCAAGGCGAGAAATGGCGACATTGGTCGCCGCTCCGTCAGAACTGCTCGTGCTGACCGCTCGGGCACGATGGAAGTGACCGAGATTGGCGGGACTTTGCCCCCGTGGTTGTGATTTTCCTCTGAGGATTGGTGGAAAGGCTGCAGACAGCTCTTCCCCGCCCGCAACGACATGGCCTTCGTAGTCGTCGCCCTTGTCCACCCAGGTACACGCGAGCCCCGGTGCAGCGTTTTGCGTGGACTTCCGTTCGGCCTGGGGTCAGCGGTGGAGAAATTCAGCCGTCACTCGCTACACCTCGCAGCCGCTACCAGGCGCTTGCTGTACATAGCGGGGGGCCACTATGTCAATGACAGCTTCGCCCCGGAGGTTGCTGCAGCGCAGGGGGGCGCGCGCGACTCTTCCCAAGCCCTTGCCGCCATGTTGGGCACTGAACTGTCTGACTCTAAGAGGGTTCCTCCCGCGTCCATGCGAGCCTCTCCGGGCCACCTGCGCGACCTCCATGCCGCCCTTACAGATTCATTCCTCCATTACCTTCGAGCCCCAAGCGAGAGCCCGGGAAAAGTTCCGCGCCGAAGTTGCGGAGATTTGTCGAAGAGGGCGCTTGCCGTCAGGTGGGACCGTTCACCTTCGCAGCATTTGCTCTTGGCTGGACGCGTCCTTGGCCGGGCGCCCCTGCTGCGGAGCATTGTCTGCCCTTATAGCTAGACAGCATGAGGGCCCATGCAAGAGTTGGCAGAACATATTTCTTATAGTCTCCAATATCTGCTTGCTGTGGCAGGTTTTGGGTTGCCCCTGCCTCTGTCCTTGCGCCGCGCAGCCCAGGCTTCCGTGGTCGTGTTCACGGATGCTTCGGCGGAGGGCGGTCGTGTCCGTATCGCGGCGATTGTCTTGCGCCTGGGCGCCTGCCTTCCTGCATGGCATGCGACGTCACAGGCCGTGCGTTGCCACTTCTCGGCTCTGCCAGCGCGGTTGGCACAATTAACCAAGTAGAGCTCCTAGCAGCTCCTTTTCCGGTGTGGTCCATGCCGGACGTCCTGAGAGGGGCAGACGTGCTGTGGTTCATCGACAACCAGGCAGCACTCGTAAAAGCGGGGTCGCCAAATGAGTCCATGTGCCGCTTGGCTCTGCAGGCCACAGCGGCACTTGTTGCCCCCGGGGCACGCCCACGGTTCGAACGACTGCCGTCGGACGACAACCCAGCCGATGTCTTGGGCCGCGCTGGATATGAGGATCCCGCAGTAGCTGCTCACGTGTCGTCTGGGCGTTGGACTGCAGTCCTGCCGCAAAATCCGGATGCTAACGGACTTGAATTCTGGCGCCTGGCCTCTGCGTTTGCATGATCGTCTCCGTGACCTGCTCCTTGCGGTGGAAAAGTGTTGCCGGCATCGTCTCCTCATCCGCTTTTTTTTTCTCCCCCAAGCAGTACTTGCACTTAGGGGCTCTTGCTTCGCTGATTATACCACGACACCTGACTGCGGGGAAAGCGTTGGGGAGCCCACTCGATTCTTCCAGCGTTGGGGGCCATCTCATCTTGGCCTGCGCACGCCCGCGGGGATTGCAGCCAAGGGACACCCCACCCCCGTCTTCTATGATGTCAAAGATTGCAGCTAGGGCCCCCCCCCCTTTCCTGCACCCATACCAGGCGATAATCCTTGTCATCGTCACCCTGGCCTCCATGTTTCTTCTTCTGGCTCCTCACTTCCACCTTTTTCCTGCTCCTCCCCCCTCGTCGTTCATTGTTTTTTGGTCCTTCCGCACCATTGTCATGAGCATCGTCATTACCATCGTCGTCGCCATAATCATCATCACCACCACCACCATCATCATCATAATCATCATCCTTGTATTCGTCATCATCAGCATCATCATCGTCATCGCCATCATCATCGTCATCGTGGGCGTCATCATCGGCATCGACGTCGTCCTCCTGATCATCATGTTTATCTTCAGCTTCAGCATTGGCACCATTGGTATCATCAACAACAACCTCATGATTATCAGCAGCAGCATCGGCATTTCCACCAACTTCAGACTCGTCCTTATCCGCTTGATCCTCCTCCTCACCCTCTTCCGTCAGCAGAAAGTCCTCCTGCTGCTGCGGATGGGGCGGCCGGTTTGCAAGTCGCGTGGCCGCTCGAGGAGGAAGAGGAGGAGGAGGAGGAGGAGGAGGAGGAGGAGGAGGAATTTGAGGGGGGGAGGAGGAGGAGGAGGAGGAGGAGGAGGAGGAGGAGGAGGAGGAGGAGGAGGAGGAGGAAGATGCTGAGGAGGAGGAGGAGGAGGCGGAGGAGGAGGAGGCGGAGGAGGAGGAGGAGGAGGAGGAGGAGGAGGCAGAGGAGGAGGATACTGAGGAATACGATGAATACTATGAACCACACTTTTAAAACTAATAATAATATTTATAATAATATCAATAATAAGAATACTAACACTAACATTACCAATACTAATATTCATAATACTAATAAGACTATAGCGGCGAATAAGCATACTAATACGCATTCTTATGATATTATTACTACTACAGCATCGTGCGAATACGAACCATATTTATGATAGTAAGAATGCGAAGGGTATTACTACTATGAAAATAGTACTATGTAATAGTAATACGACGAATACTCATACGCACACTAAGACGACTCATCATAATAGATATACTAATAATGGTAGGACTAAACTAATATGAATACTACGAATCATATTAGTACTGCTATCATTACTAATCTTTCTAAGAATACGAATGCGAATAGTACTACTAATAAGAATAAGACTAGTCATACTAATAATACTACCCATAATGATACTACCAGCACTATTATTACTACTACTAATGCTACGACTACTAATAATTCAATTGATAATAATAATGCTAATGCTAATACTAATGCTGATAATACTAGCAATGCGACTCATAACAATAATCATCGTACGAATAAGGAGAAGAGTACTCCGAACAATAAGACGATTACTCATAATAATAAGAAGGCGAATCAGAATACGCAGAAGACGACGACGAATCATAATAACCACACTAAGAATAATAAGACTAATAATGTGAGGACGAATACAAAGAATAATACACATAAGGATAAGAGGAGGAGGTGGAGGAGGATGATGATGAGGAGGAGGAGGAAGAAGAGGAGGAGGACGAGGAGGAGGGAGAGGAGCAGGAGGAGGAGGAGGAGGAGGAGAAGGAGGAAGAGGAGGAGGAGGGGGAGGAGGAGGAGCAGGAGGAGGAGGACGGGGAGGGGGAGGATGAAGAGGAAAGGAGGAGGAGGAGGAGGAGAGAGGAGGAGGAGGAGGAGGAGGAGGAAGACGAAGACGAACACGAATGAGGAGGAGGAGGCGGAGGAGGAGGAGCAGGAGGGGAGGAGGAGGAGGCGGAGGATTATGATGAAGGGGAGGAGGAGGAGGATGAGGAGGAGGAGGATGAGGAGGAGGAGGAGGAATAAGAAAAATACTAGTACTACTGAATAATACTAGTACTAATGACTAATAATAATACTGATATGAATAATACGAATAATATTACGAATGCTAATAATAACAAGGATCCTGAGCATAAAAATCGAATAATAAGACGAATAGTACTAATAATAATGATAGCACTACTCATACGAAGAAGAACACGAAGACTGACCATACTAATACTAAGAAGAATAATGCTACTAGTACTAATAATACTATTAATAATAATGCTAATAATAATACTATCCATAATAATCATACGACTAATGATACTAATAACGATACTAATACTAATACTAATACTACTAATAATAATAATCATACTACTCATACGAATCAGACAACGAATAATAATGATACGAGGAGGAGGAGGAGGAGGAGGAGGAGGAGGAGGAGGAGAGGAGGAGGAGAGGAGGAGGAGGAGGAGGAGGAGGAGGAGGAGGAGGAGGAGGAGGGAGGAGGAGGAAGATGAGGAACAACTACGAGGAGGAGGAGCAGCAGCAGCAGCAGCAGCAGCAGCAGCAGCAGCAGCAGCAGCAGCAGCAGGAGGGAGAGGGAAAGGGAGGAGCAAGGTGGAAGGGGGAGGAGGGAGGTGAGAGGGAAAAGGGGGGGCCCCACGAGGCTCTTCTGAGGCTTTTCAGAGGTGCGCAAGAGGCCTTCCAGGAGGGCCCACGGGCTCTTGCTATCCAAGGGGCCAAGAGGCTCTTCAGAGGCTCCCCCCAAGAGCTTTCCAGGGGGCCGAAGAGGCTCTTCAGAGGCCCCAAGAAGCTTTTCAGAGGCTCTGCAGAGGCCGAAAGAAGATCTTCAGAGGCTCTGCGGAGGCCCCAAGAGGCTCTTCAGAGGCCCCAGTGGGTTCTTTTGAGTCCTGAAGAAGCTCTTCAGAAGCCCCAAGAAGCTCTTCAGGGGGGCAGAAGCGGTTTTTAGGGATTCCAAGAGGCTTTCAGAGGTCACCCAAAAGCTCTTCAGAGGCCCCAGGCGGCTCCTCAGAGGCCCCAAGAAACTTTGCAGAGGCCCCAGGAGGCTTTTTAGAGGCCCCAAGAGGTTCTTCAGAGCTCCCAAAACGCTCTTCAGGGGGCCCAGGGAGCCCTCCAGGGGTTCCCAAGAGGCTCTTCGGGGAGCCTTCAGGGGGCCCAAGAGGCTCTTCAGAGCCTGCTTCGCCGTTCGCGAGGGTTCATATCTTCCAGAGAACCCTTGGCCGTACTAAGCCCACCGGGCCGCACAAAGCCCATCCGGCCGCAGAAAAACTTGATCTCTAGAGGGGGGGGCGTTTTTTTTTTTTTTTTTTTGTTTCTTCTCTCTCCGTGCCCCCCCCCTGACATGAGGGTCTTGGGGGACGACAAACCCGCCCTCCGCCTTCAGAGGGAGTTAGGGGAAGTTTTTCCCAGGGGGTCTCCCCGAAGTCGAGTTTCTGGACGCTCGCTCGAAAAAAAAACGTATCCCCCACATAGAATCCTCCCTTGAGGAGGGGGTCTGTGTGTGAGGACACCTTCCTCCAACCCCCTCCAAAACCTACCTCTCGTGAGGGGGGGGGGAGGGAGCTTTCCTCACCCGAGCCCCTTTTAACCGGCCCAAAATTCTACCTGAGGGGGAGTTCCAGGGAAGACAAAGCCCAACCCTTTGAAAACTGAGGGGGAGGTGGTCGTCTAACCCCCTGGACCCCCCAAAAAATCATTGAGAGGGGGTTCCACGGGAAAGCCACCGTAACCCTTCAAAACTCTTCTGAAGGGGGAGGGGTCCGGTGGGGGGTGTCAAGGAGGGGTAGGGGAGGTTTTCCACGGGCTCCCGAACTGGAGTTTCTGGAGGCTGGCCAGGAACCGCCCCTCTCTACCCCCATCAACATATCCCTTCAGGGGGGCTTTGAGGCGAAAGTCCTTCCTGATCTTCAAAAGCGCGCCCCGAGGGGGGGGGGCTTTTAGAGCAAAGCCCCTTTGAGGGAAGGGTGGGGGGGATTTTTTTAAAGGGGCTTTCAATTCTAGTATATGTTTTACTTCGGCGCCCCGGACCCCCCCGGAAACCCTGTCCAAACCTCTCCCCCCTCCCTCCTGGGCCTGGGACCCCCCCCCGAAGGTGGGATAAGAGGGGGGGTGCAAAGGGGGTTCGGGGAACTGCCACGCCGCCCACACATGGGCATGAACTCATTCGTTAACCCCATCTTTCGTCCGACCCAGGATGAGGAGGAGGAGGGCCAGGGTACACCCAGTATGCATCAACGATGTTGCAATTCGCCCACCCGTTCCTCTGAAGTCCCCTCCTGTAAATTCCTGCAAGCATTCTTTTTCGCTACAAGCAGCGCCCCCTTGCAAGACCAGAGCCAGATGGCCCAGCCGTCCAGGCGAGAGACCCATGCCGAAAAGGAACATGCTTGTAGATGATCCGCAAGCGCAGCCTGCAGGCCGATTCGTCTACGCTGTTCCTGGATGCTGGCTGTTAGCTGTGAGGCGGCTCGGAAGATGTATACATCGGCGTTGAAACGAAAGGGAAGACGATGATGCTGATGATGCTGCTGCTGATGATGCTGCTGATGATGGTAACGATGCTGCCGATGATGATGCTGCTGATGATGATGATGACGATGATGATGCTGACGCGGATGATGGTGGTGAAGATGCTGGTGCTAATGATGGTGATGCTGATGCTGATGCTGATGCTGATGCTGCTGATGATGACAATGACGATGACGATGATGATGCCGCTGATGACGATGACGATGATGATGATGCTGATGATGATGATGCTGATTCTGATGATGGTGATGATGGTGGTGATGGTGGTGGTGATGAGGATGATGATGACGATGGTGGTGATGATGCTGATGATGATGATGGTGGTGATGATGAGGATGATGATGATGAGGATGATGACGAGCATGATTATGATGATGGTGGTGGTGGTGTCGATGATGAGGACGATGATGAGGATGAGGACGAGGATGAGGGTGATGATGATGACGACGATGATGATGATGATGATGATGATGATGATGATGATGATGATGATGATGATGATGATGATGATGGTGGTGGTGGTGATGATGATGCTGATGATGTTTCGGAGTAGGAGGAGGAATGCCAGGACGAGGAGGAAGGAGGATCAGAACGAGGAGAGGGAGGAGGAGGAAGGATCAGGACGAAGAGGAGTAGAAACGACGGAGTCGTGGAGCTTCGGGGCTGGCCGGTAAGCGCGCGTGATGCCCCGCCCCCGCCAGAGGCTCCTACGTCGCCGAACAGCTCTGCGGCAGCTGGGGTCGGGGAGTGGTTGTCGTCATTGTCTTTGCCATCTCTGTCGTCCGTGTCGTCTTTGTCGTCTTTGTCGTCGCCGCCGCCGCCGCCGTCTTCGTCGTCGTTGTCGTCGTCGTTGCCGTAGTCCTTTCCCTCTTCTCCCTCTTTCTCCGCCGACGCCCGCATGTCTCCTTTACTGCTGCCGCTTCCGTTCGATGCTCGTGCTTCGATTGTGCCTTAGATTTGATGATCATATCTACCACACGCTTAAAGCATTGGAGGGGTCACGAGCCAGGCACCGGGCTCTGAACGACAAGAGCCTGGCCCTCGCCAGCCTCTCCCTCGCCCCTGGCTCCGGAGACGTGGCGCCCCCCCGGCGAGGTCCGCTTCGCGCCTTCGCCGAGGCCCTCAGGATCTCCGACGGCCGCTGGAGGCAGTTTCGCGCCCCCACCGTGATTGGCCCTGACGGGTAGCGGTGGTGGAGCGGGAGGGCCTGGAGGGCGAGGGCCGGCTGCGCCGTCGTCGTCGACGTCGCCGCGGCTGGTTCCTGGCCTGGGTCAACATCGTGGGCCGCATCAGCCCTCGCCAGCGCAGTCTGGATCACTGGCGCCGGCGTCCTTGCCAGCACAGCAGGGATCACCGACGCCTGCATCCTCGCCAGCGCAGCCGGGAGCTCGGAGACCAACGTCCTCCCCTGCACAGCCAGGAACACTGACGCCATCATCCTCGCCAGCGCAGCTGGGATCACCGACAACAGCATCCACGCAGACACTGCCGGGAACACCGACGCCAGCATCCTCGCCAGCTCAGCTGAGAGCACCGTCGCCAGCGTCCTCGCCAACTCAGCCGAGAGCACCGACGCCAGCATCCTCGCCAGTACGGCTGGGACCGTCGCCGGACCATAACGACATCCTCCGCATCTGTTGGGACGCGGCGGCGAGGTTGGGCGACCGGGGCCCCAGGCTGCCAGCTTGGCTCGACCCTCATTGGGACGCTGCGCAAGCGTCACGAGGGGCAGGGGCGGTGCTGGGCGGGCACGCGCGGCAAGAGCGTGCCTCGGACGCTGGGCCTGTCGCTGCTCAGCAGCACGAGTCGTGAGCAACACGACGGATGCCAGCAATACCATCCTGCGCAGCCCCACCGCGACATGCAGCAGCACGTCCATGTTCACCATGATGGATTCTAACAGAGTCATTTAATCGCTTCGCTCACTCCGCCGGCCCGTATTGTGCCGTTGCAGGCGACTGCCTGCGCGTTCGTGGCCTCTTGGAAGCCGTTTGGGGGCCTCTTGGAGCCTCTTTTTGGGCCTCGTGGCGGTATTTCTGGGACCTCCTGGGGTGTCACGGGGGCTCCTTGGGGGTCTCTTGGGGCCTCTCGGGGGCCGTTTGGGGGTTTCTCGGGGCCTCCAGGGGACCTCTCTGCGCCTAGAGCTTGCGTCTTTCATCCACACCTCTTTGTCGTCGGCTTATCCTCCGCCTTCTGACGGATCCGCCTGAATGCAGCCTGGCCAGCCGCAGCCTGAAGCCGTGCCCAGGGATTACCCTCCAAACTTGCCCGTATGTTCGCGATGCTCTTCTCTGGCACGCCCTGACTGGTTATAGAGGACTGGTTATGGGGGAAACGTGTGTGTGTGTGTGTGTCTACGTTCAGAGATGCCTACAACGAATGCGAATGGCGCCGCAGCACCACGCCGTGAATGACAGCCGGCTCCCTGCCCCCCACCCACCCTCCGCTACGCTCAGGCTGCCTCGGGCGCGGACCTGCCGATCCTTGGCGCTGACCGCGTGGCGGCCGTCTCCTCGGCTCGCCTGCGCCCGACGCTGGCGTGGACTCGACCACCTGCCGCCTTCGCGCGCATCCTCTTTTTTTTCCGCGGCCCTGCGACTTGACCGCCGTGCTCCTGCCCCTGGCAGCTTGGGAGCCGCCGCGCTTGATCCCTAGAGTGACCCAGGTCACAGGTCACAGGTCACGCCCGTGCGCCGGAAGGCGAGCCCATGAAGGGCGCAGGCGGTGGCAATCGGCAGCGTGCAATACACGCGCGCGCCACATTTAGGGAAAACAGTACGTGCGTTTAAAAAAGGGAGGACTCATTCACCTGGCCTATCGTTGTGATGGTGCGCTCGAGCGTGAAGCAGATATTTAGGTAGCAGTGTCAGACAGCAGGGCGTTCTCACAATGTTTGCCCCTCTGTTGCTTTGGATCAAGACGCGGAGTGGAGAGAAGACATACTCCCTCACATGTTCAATGATAATGGCAGCAAAAGTGTTGAAACTCCGCGGCTCGCTCCTGAAAAATATCTGGGGACCAAGAACGCCATTGAGAGCCAACCACGCGGCCGAAAGCTTCCAATTTGCTTGTCCATGTAAGAGTCGGCCGCCCTGCTGCACGATGACCGCGCGGTGACCAATTCAGAACTCTGACGATGTACCTTGTGTCTGGTAGCTGCTGAACATATAGTGCAAACGACAAATGCTGGTGAACGCATTGTTCTGCCCATGTGCGAATGCCAGCACCGTTGACGAAGTTGCGTGCACGCTCGTGCCAAACATGTAGTACATCATGCCACGGTGCATCCCAATCAACGCCCGGAGGTGGTCCAACGATCTGTCGTACGAGGCGTCGGAATTCGATATCCATTGTTTTCAAATCTTCCACAGAGTGACCCTCTTGGCCGATCGCGCCCCCCTATTTTGCGGCCTTGATCGACGGTCTTGCCCTGCGCGTGCCGCCTGGGGCCCCTCCCCCTGGGAGGGCCCGCTGCCCCCTCCCACCCGGCCGCCGCCTCACCCTGGCCAGCGGCTTGCCGCCCGTGCCGCAGCTACAGTTCCCATTCTCTTTGCAGCAGCCGTGCTTGATCCCCGGGTGTCCCTCTGAGTTGATCGCGCGCCCCATCGTGTCAGCCCCGCTCTACGGTCTTGCCCTGAGCGTGGCGCCTCGGGCGCCCTTCCCCACGGGGGACTCCCAGCCCCCAGCCCTGCCGCCTGCCGCCTGCCGCCTCACCCTGGCGGCATCTCGCTCACGCCCCGCGGCCTACCTGCTGCGGCGGCTCTCTTGTGCGCTGCCTCTGCTGGCCTCCCAGGGCCAACTGCCCTCTCTCCTGCGTTCGGTCTCCGGGGTGGACCCTCTGTGACGATCACGCCCTGTTTTTGAAATGCCTGCGGTCCCGCGTCCGCAGGTTCTCGTCACTCCGCCCGTGTGCCTCCTCTCGGATGCTCCATAGGATGCGACTGGCAGTGCGCATGTTCGGACTTAGCTGGCGCCGCGCAGTTGAGGCACGCCGTTCCGGCAAGCAGGAGAGCATGTGCAGCAGCAGTGCCCCCCTCTCTTGAGTTTTAGTGCGAAGATTGGTGTTTTTCCTCCTCCGCCTCGTCCGCGTGCCAGATTGGGGCCGAAGATATGGCCCCCCTCAGGTGTGTGATGTTTGGCCGAGGTTTGCATCATTCTATGCATGTGCAAGGACCTGGGACAAACATACAGCCAAGAACCACCCTGTCTCGCTGTCTTTTTGTTGTGCCTCTCCTTATCTATGCGCTGATTTCCTTGTATGCTGTGCTGTATCGCTTTACTGCGAACGGCCACATTGTTTGCCCTGCGGAAGCAACAATGCCTGCCCGCAACCTTGGCGCCCGAGCCGATGCAATGTTGGGGGAGCAGCCCCTCTATTTGGCGTCACGAGTGCCAACCTTTATCCTGACCAGCCAATGGCTGAATCAGATGCGCAATCCAGAATCCTGCTCCTCCTCCTCTTCGCCCTCCTCCTCCTCCTCCTCCTCCTCCTACTATTCCTCCTCCCGTCGCATGTTGTTTTGGATTTTGAGTATTGGCCGCTCGGGCCGCTGGCCCAAGGCAGCAGGAGTCCTAGCAGCGCATGTTGTGTTCGAGTTGCAGTGCTGGCCGCTCGGGCCGTTACGGAACCCAACGCACGCCGCTTCCCGTTCTCACCCGCGGACGCTCCATAGGGGCAGAGGCACCCTCTGCCTTTCCTGCGCAGGCAAAGGTCTTTGCGCGTTGACTCGCCTACTGCAGGTTGGTCCTCGCGGGATTCCTGGTGTCCGAATTCGGCCCCGCAGTGCCCCTCGGTTGCCTCGACCGCGGCTTGGTTGCAAGCCGCTGCGGTGAAACAGTTTCCCGGTGTCTTGGCGCCTCTTGGCAGCGCAAGTTTGCGGCCGCTTGTGGTTGTGCTTGCTCTTGCCGGCTGTATTTGCGTCTTCCTCTACCCCTGTGTCCGTCTCCCCTTCCTACTCCTCTGGCGCTGCTCAGCCTTGCGCGCGCCCTCCCGCCCAAGCCGGTGAGGGAATGTGGGCTGCCCTATCCCTGGCGGTGGCGGATGCGGTCTTGGTGCGCCACTCGCTGGGGGAGGGGCAGTGAAGGCCGCTTACAAAGGTGGCTGCTTTCGGGGAGCGCGGTTGGGCAACGCCCAAACACGTGGGCCGCTACTCGCACCGCTGATTGCCCAAGGGGCCTGACAACGCTAAGCGACATAAGCGGGACCTGCAAATCCTCTTATGCTCTCTTGGGGCTCTCTTGGGCCGTCTTGGGGCCCTCTTGGCCGTATGGTAGGTGTCTGGGGGCCGTCGTGGGTCGTCTTCGGCCGTCGAAAGGCCTTCTAAGTCCGTCTTGGGTTCCACGGGAGGCCCTCTTGGGCCTTCTTGGGCCTTCTTGGGGCCGTCTTTGATGCCTCTTTGGCCATCGTGGGACCACTTGGACCATCTTGTGCACGTCTTGGGCCGTCTTGGTGCTATCGTGGAGGCTTCTTGGGCCGTCTTGAGCTGACGGAATCCCGAAAACGCGAGAATGCGATCACCATTCAAAAACCTTAGGGAAATCAATGAGTTTGTCTTCTTCGGACCCTGTTGGTCCGCTTGTGGCCCTTGTGGGCCCTCTTGGAGGCATGTTGGGCCGTCTCGAGGTGATATTCTGCCGCCTTGGGGCCATCTCGGGCTGTCTTCGATGCATCTGGGGCCATCTTGGTGTCCTGGGTTGCCTGCCTGGACCGTCTTAGAAGCTCGGGCCGCACATCCATAGTTTTTCTGCAAGGTGGTTGGGTGGTGTGGCTGGCACCGTGCCCGCCCAGACACTCGACACGGGACACCTTCGCATACCTCCTTTTTCCACGACGTAGGCACCAAGAAGTTGGATTCACACGAGCGCTGGCGGAAACATCGTTGCATTTTCCCCATCTTGGGGATGCTGGGGTCGTCTTTTTGGGGGAGCGTGTTGACTTCGACCAGGTTTGGGGCCCCGGATGGCGCCTAATACCCTCCTGCTTCCTGTTCTCGCGTCCCCGAGTGCCACCGACATCGAGATTTTACTCCCGCGCGCGCATGCCACAGCCAGGCAAGAGGTGGATAGACACGTGGCCGCACGTATTTCTGGCGCCTGGTCCTTTCGTGGCCAGGCACGCTGGCGAATCCAGCCGCGCACGTTTCCAGCCTCCTGGTGGGACCCAACGCTCTCGACGGGGCGCGGTTGCTGGGCCGCTTCTTGCGGGTCCCTGGGCGCGAACATACCCTCCAGACGCCGAATTCACGAGAAGACGCTTGCAGCTGAGCTCACGATAAGACGGTTGCCGCTTCCTTTTGGACGACGTTGTAGGTCTGGTTTCTCTGGCCGGCAGCTGATGATGATGATGATGATGATGATGATGATGATGATGATGATGATGATGATGCTGATGACGATGATGATGATGATGATGATGATGATGATGATGATGCTGATGACGATGATGATGATGATGATGATGATGATGATGATGATGATGATGATGATGATGACGACGATGATGATGATGATGATGATGATGCTGATGATGATGATGATGTTGATGATGATGATGATGATGATGATGATGATGATGATGATGATGATGATGATGATGATGAGGATGATGGATGATGGATGCACTATTCTTGCTGAAGTGGTGATGCGTAATGCTGTGGTAGGTCTGGCTTTTCTGGCCGTGAGCCGGGCCTGTCTGGAAGTCTGACTTCTCTGGTCGTGAGCTGGGCCCACGAAGGATGCTGTGGCGCTTCCCGTCACGCCCCGCGGAGATCTCGCGAACAAGAAGCACTCAATATTCACAAACTCGCCAAGACTTCGACAAACATCTGTTTTTTTGTGATCGTTTCTTTATTCG